CCTGTACTTGAGATGGCCGAATCTGCTATAATGGTTTCTCCCTCCCCATGACATGTGTCCAGCTGGGTTTGCGTGCTTAGACGAGTGTCTTCTAGCACTAGAAGCCCCAGAACAACGTCAAAGGTCAGCTGCTCCTTGTTCAAAATATTGGAGCGAATGTTTTAAAATTCAAGCCTCAAGCACATGAGGAATTCCATCAATCGAGTCTGTTGCCCTCGATCATCATATCTTTAGACATGGCTTGAGGCTGCGTGCAACAAGTCCTACTCCGTCCACAATTCTTGTGCGACGTTGAAATACTCCATGACTATACGACCCCCTTGCTCCAATCAAGCCAAGGTAGTCTGCACTGCGAATTGCCTAGCTGGATTCACAGTAGATTAGGTGGCGGAGAGATGTCTCCACATCCGGGTGGCGGTGAGAAACAGCCGAAGACTAATGCAAGTTCAAGGAGTAAAAGATCCTAACAACCATGATCTTGTTAAACAGACTGAAAGATCGAGAACATAAAGTAATCAACACCAAATTTACGTGGTTTACTCGTTCAGAGAGAATGAGACTAGTCCGCGGCCGAAGCAATTGTTTCTCTTTGTCAAGTGTCTAGCACACACACGTACACTATATCACAACCCTAGCCAAACCCCAATAGGAAAGGATCTTTAACCCCCAAACCCATCTGTCTAATAGTCCAACATCTATAATCCACTACACAAATACATATACAATGGGCTTAAGCCCAACATCAACATCGTCTTTACTCAACAACCTCCCGAAATTGATGGAGATCTCTCAACATCAATTTGCCAATGAGATAGCTATGCCAACTAGCAATAAAGGCCTTCGTCAAAGATATGCAATCTGATCCTCGAATGATATGTAAAATATGCGAAGAGTACCATCCGGAACCAGATCCCGGATCTAGTGGACAAGAACCTCGATATGTTTAGTACGATCATGAAGAACCGGATTCGTGGCAATCCGAGTGGCACTAGTGTTATCCACGTAAAGCTCCATAGGAACCTCACACTGGATGCCAAAGTCACTCATCAGTCATTGCAACCATTCAAACTCGGACATCACATCGAACATGGCACGATACTCTACTAAGGTGGAGGACTTCGAAACTCGGTCCTTCTTCTTGCATCGCCAAGAAATAAAGGAGCCACCTAGCCAAACACACCACCCACTCATGGAATGACGAGTGTCAATACAACCTACATAGTCAGAATCAGAATAGGCTTGTAGTGTCAGCGACCCTGTAGCATGTAACAATAATGTGACCGTCCGGGTTCCCTGAAGGTATTGGAGGATCCGGTGAACAACATCAAGGTGACTTGTATGCGGAGCAAAAATGAACTGATTGACGACCTGGACTGCATAAGAAATGTCAGGACTAGTGGAAGTCAAGTATATCAAGAAGAGGAGAAGCTAGGGTATATAAAGGAGGTTGAGCTTAAGGGAAAAAGAAGGGAGACATAGTGTGAGAAACTTCTTCTTCTTCTTCTTCTTCTTCTTCTTCAGATTTCTAGAGTGAGAAAGTGACGAACCAAAGAAGAGGAGAAGCCAGGGTTTCATCTTCAAGCAATGATTTGAGAATTCCTCCTCCAAAGGAGGATCTCTTCAACACAAGGAGAAAGGCTAGCATCTCGTTGATGGTTTTCCTTCTTCTCTCTTGTGTTTTCTCTTCTCCTAGCATGGAGTAGTCCCTTCTTTCACTTGGGTGTTTGTAAACCCTAGATACAATTATGTGAATGCTTTTATGGATTGAATGATTTGTGTGTGGTTGTGTTTAATGTGAATGCGGAGGTATTATTCATGAATGCTTGTGTTGTGTGAAAGCCTATCAATCTATTTGCCATTCTAACCTAGGTAGAGAGAAAATCCCCCTTTCTTTGAAAAAGGCTAACAAGTTGAGTTTTCTTAGGCAATTCATTGTTTCCTATCTAGGTTAATGTAGGGCAACCCTCTTATTTCGTATTAGCACCTAGAGTTTGGTTGTGAGTGGCCTTCCGAACTTCGATTTGAGGGTGAAGTCTTGGCAACCCTTAGTCAATAGGTCGAGAGAGTCACGTTAGTGGCTTGAATCGAATTCCCTCGACCTAGAGACCAGGAGAGTGGCGTTTGGCTACGTGTTTCACTTCCCTACGGTTTACAACCACCTTACCACACATAACATTCGATCCGACAAGTCATAATCGTTAGCTAGGGGGACAACACCCGGGTGAAACCTTCTCAATTAGTGTCAAATCCATTTACTTTACCAAATGTTTTAGTATAGATCATTGTTTTCACCAAAAATCTATCGCTAGATCATGTTTCAAACAATCGAAGTAGGGGTACATGAACCGGCCCGAGTCGAAATTTAAACATAGTTTCCCTATATTGCACCCAATTAAGGTTTATACTTGGGCCTTAATTGGGAGTTTTATTGTATTATTCGGGACGAGTCACCAGGCAGCCAACTCCTGATCGGACGACGGAGGTACAATAGGCTTTTTCGAAGAGCCATCTAGTAAGCCGAATAATCCAATCCCTTCAACAAAGATTCAAAACTAAAACACCCATAACGCGTATTTCTTGAAGTTTACGCGGGTTGTGATGTGATCATATTCCATAACAGGCTCTGATATCATGTTAAACAAACAGAAAGATCGGAACAAAAAGTAATCGACACAGAGTTTACATGGTTTAATTTTCTCGTTCAGAGAGAACGAGACTAGACTACGGTGGAAGCAGTTGTTTCTCTTATTCAACTATCCATCACACACACGTACACACCAATATATAGAGCTTTATATCATAACTCTAGCCGAACCCCAATAGGAAAGGATTTCCGGCCCCCAAACCCAGCTGTCTAATAGTCCACCATCTAATAATCCACTACACAAATATATATACAATGGGCTTAAGCCCCACAACAACATCGTCAAAACTCAACAGATCTTATGCATGCATCGCTTTGGCTAAAGTTAGCCTTCTTCTGAAGACTAGTAGTCGCTGCATTCAGTTTAGGTTGCGTCTCGTCCAAGATCCCTAGCAATCCTCGTCCTTCAACAAACGCCTGAAACTAAAATTCCCAGAATGTGTCGTAGTTCGTTGATGTGAGGCATACAGTCGCCTTCTCCGATTCAACCGCAGTGAGCTCTGATACCATGTTAACAAATAAGATTCAAATAATACGAAATGGAAATCAGATCGAATTTACGTGATATCTCTGGATAACCAGGGCTAATCCATGAAAGGGGTTGGAACACTCTTCCAGCTACTGATTTACTAATAGATGATGATTAATGATAATACAACTATTGCCCTCACTCTCTCTATATACGTGAGTCAAGCCCCCTAGTTAGGGTTGGGCATGCGGGTGGGTCACCTGCGGGTTTGGGTCGATCCGCCCGCATTTTACCCAAATTTCATTATGTGGGTGGGTCTGTCGGTGGGTGACGGGTTGGGTTGGGAGGCATCCGCCTGGTGGCGGCTGGCTTGTGGACGGGTGCGCGGGTCATCCGCTCAACCCAACAACAAAAAGAACAAAGTCGTTGGCGCTAGGGAGTGGAGAGTGGAGATGCCAACGGAAACTAGGGCTAGTCCTGGAGATTGAATCTCAAAGCCAATCTTCCAAATCTCGCATTCTCTCTTCTTCCCTTTATTTTTTCCTCTGATTCTTGTGCCCAAATCACGTGTCTTTCCTACTTTAAATTATTTTTCTTAGTTTACCGCACACGATAATCCTCTCCATCAGCAGAAAACTCATTCATAATAGAATTTTAATCCAATTTAAGAACTAATTCGACATTTTTTCTTCCTATTCCATCTTCTTGTTTATACCCAATTACTCTCCACCAATTATCTTGCTACTTGAAATGAATCTCAAATTTAGAGGGTGAATGGATGTTGAAATGGATTTTTATTTTACATATTGACATTACATAGAGGGTTTGGAAAAATAAATAGATTATGTCAAGTTGACTTTTTTTTATATTATTTACATTGTGATGTAGGTAAACCCCCAAACCCACTCGCAACATCTGCCATCTACCCGATCCAACCCGAGACTAAATGTGGGTGGGTGGTGGGTTAAAAATTGTCAATCCGTTAAAGCGCGAATGGGTGCATTAATGGTCAAATCCACCGACCTATAGGGATGACGACAAAACCCGAACCCACTGGTACCAACCCGACCCAACCCGGTCAATGCGGGTAAAATCCGTGTTGACGGGTTTGGGCCGGATTTGGGTTTAAATCCGTTCAATATACATCGGGTGGGTTGGGTTTAGGTAAACCCGACCCATGGGTACCCGTCCACACCCATACAGTTAATTTTCTCGGTATATTTAATATTCTTAACAACTAATCTTATTTATGTTTGTGGAGACATGTCTAATTTTTTCTTTCAAATTGTGTAGAATGAAGTTGATGTTATCGAGTGGAGAGTGAAGAAACTTAATTGAAAGGAAGAAGCTTTCAATTAATCATGTTATTTATGGATAATTTGTGATTTGCTTCAATTTGCTTGAGTTTTCTTAGATTGGTGTTGAACAATTTGTATAGTTAATTTGTGATTTGCTTGAATTTTCTAGAATGGTGTTTTATATATGGATAATTTGTATTGAGAGATTGATATTTGACTTTAATTTTGATAGAAACTTGTTATTGTAAATTTTTTACGACAAAAACCCGTGGGTAACCCACGGATACCCAGCGGATTGAGTTGGGTTTGAGTTTTTCAAACCCAGAGAATTTTACCCCAGGTTTTTTTCACGGATAAACCCATAATGCCAAACCCAAACCAACCCGACCCATTGCCATCCCTACCGACCTATCCAATGCCCCTGCTCCTAGGGTAGAGACAGCACACGACGTCTAATCCTCTCTCTGCATGGACTTACATGGACTCTATCGCGCGTGGGCTTTAATAAAAGAAATGGGCTCACACCTGTTACAGCTCAATACATCAGTAGTTTAAATTACAGGAACCTCTCACAAAAGCGGAGCCCTCCCTTTTCTCTTCAAACTGAAACCCGCCGCGCGCACCAGCTCTAGGAACGGCCTCCATTAGCCTCACGTTTCGCCGTCCTTCTCGCTGCCGCTTCCTACGCATCCAGGTCGTCCTACAAGTTCTCTCTTCTTTATATTTGGTAATCTCAGAGAAGAGGGAGGGGGGATTTAAATGTATGTTGTACGAGCTAGTAGTAGATTGACTGTGGTAGAATAGAAGCATGGTTTGTGCTTTTGTTAATGGACAGCTGAATATGAATTAAGCAGATGCCTTCACTTAATTGGAGTGTTCATTCTGACTTTTCGGCATTAAGTCTGTGACACGCTCTCGATCCCCTATCCTCCAGGTCGTTGTACAGAGAATCAGGGAATTCGTGAGTTTCATCCATGGATGACCTATATGAAGTCATAGGGAATAACAGGATTGAAGATGTGAGTTGGATATGTTCCCTCTCCGAGCCCGAGCTTGTAAGTGCTTTCCTTCCTGTTTGAGCTGTAGACAGAGACTGAAACTGTATTTGTAAGCCTACACATAATTGAAAGGACCAGCTAATAGGATCTTCTAATTGCCTTTGGTAGGATCTTCTAATTGGCTTGAAGAAGCTGGTGATTCTGCGGGCAAAGGCTATTGGTCATGTGGAATTGGCTGAGAAATTTGACTTGAAGATGCTCCGAGCGATTGGTATTTTCTTTCCTCCCCTTCTTTCTGTCTACTACACGTATCTGTCTTGCTATCTAGAAGTTTTCCTTTTTGGTTCCATGGATATTGTTATGTGGTTGATATAACAAACCAAACCAAACCAAACCAAAACAAACCAAACCAAATTGAATGAGTGTTTCCTACTTTAATTCTCCTGTCAGCACTGTATGTATGACTAGAGTGTGTCCAACTCCTTTTAACAAGTAGCTGGAGGAGAGGAAACTTTGGCTTCCCTGGTTGCTGCTGGGGGTGATGATTGGGCAGAGGTTGCTATTCTTCTTGTAGCTGTGTTATTCTTATCGAGAGTGCATTTCAGGCCTGCCCTTTATATCCCTAGTTACTCACTCTCAGTTGCACTTGACGCAGGGTTGGTTGTAATGGAACATTTCAGACAAAAGGTCAAAGACTTGCCACCAGTACCGGGCATGGACGAGACTAGTGCATGCATAGATGGTTGCAATTTACTAAAATCCAAGCTTGACAAGTTGAGCATTGAAGAGTTGAAGTCATGTCTCGGTATGAAGAAGGAAAAACACTATTTTAAAAGGTAGGTTGATTATGCAAGTTTTGCAACTTCAGTTAGGGTAGACATTGACAAGATGCTGCAGAGTAAGTTATCAAGCATGCTTGGTTGCTTAGCTAGAAAACGGTTCACCTTTGCTGTCATCTAATGCCAGCTTGTTCATCATATTGCTAAATGAAGCGTGAGTCAGCACCTTGCTGGTCTTGTTTGAAGGTGCTGAAGAAAACCTTGTTATTAGGGCCTTGGAAATGATAGACTAGACTAGACTAGACTAGACTTGACTAGACTAGACTAGACTAGATGTGTTCTTAATAGAGAAGCAGCCTCACTGAGGGAAGGTTACACATTAGTTTATGTTGACCCACCTTGATTTTTCATTTTCATAGACCACAGGAACAGGAAGGGCCAAAAGTAAGAAGACAGAGCCGGAGATAGTCTGATTGCAGAGACAAGATTGATGATGCTCGATGTCATTTTTTCGGCCAACAACTTCCAGTTATGCTTAGGAGTTTTGTCGTCCATCATCTGCAATACCCCATTTATGGATGGTCCTTTGAGACAACATTCAGCTAGCTACATTGTTAACTCCTATGAGTGTTTTTTACGTTTGGAAAAGACTGTAGCTGGGAGCCTGGGACCAGCTAGCTATATATTGTTCTCCCTATGCTAGGACTGTGTTTGCATTTCCTACTTGCGAGCTTCGACTTGGCTCGCTCTGTGGTTGCCCCATGCCCAGTGACCCTCTTCTACCCAGTTCGCTGGATGACTTGTGCAGGCGTAAATATGCAGCGCGTATTGAGCACTAGGAATTAATTGTTGACTACTTAATCGGGCTTTGTTGGCCAATGGCCATCACAGAGTTGTTCGAATTGCGTGGAAGTTAGACCACTCTAGTGTAGTGAATATGCCGGATAGGTGACGGTGATTACTAAGGACAAATTGGGTATGAAAAAATATTATTAATTATTTTTTTAATTAATTATATTTTTGGAAATTAAAAAAAATATTAATTACAATTTTCTCTCTCTTCCTCTCACTTCCACCATCTTCAGCTAGATCTCTCTTCCTTTTTTTTCCTCAATCTTTTCCTTGTTTTTGTTTAGGCGAACTATTACCGCTACAACAATAAAACAATACCAATCCATTAAAAGAACACTACCAATGCATAAAACACCAATACCATTCGAGAAATAAAAACACTACCATTTCACACAATCCCAATACCATTGCAGATTTATCAATATCAATAGATGCAAATCAATACTATTACATGTTAATCAATACCAATGCAAAAAAGAAAAAAAAAACAATACCAATTGAAAAACACTACCACTACAGAAAAAGAACACTACCATTTCACTAAAAAGCAATAAGTTTATATGATAATCAATACCAATGCGGAAAAAACACTACCATTACGAAAAAATCACTACCAATGCGGAAAAAAACAATACTAATGCGAAAAAACACTACCACTACGAAAATGCCAAAATTTGGCTGCTGGCTGGATTGCAGCCTCCGCTGCTACCCAGCCACGTGGCTCTATGTGATTGGTTCAATTGTTAATGAATTATTAGGAGGATGCTGAATTTGGACGGAACAATTTTGGATGCGTTTTCTTTGACGGGACCTGGACGGAGGAGCTGTCCGACGTCAAGGTATTCACTTTGCTTTATTTTTTATTTTATTTATATTATTGTTATCAATTTTTATCAATTAAAGTGGGAAAATTATTAAAAAATGTATTTTTCCTTTAGGGTTTTTTTGCATACGTCCTCTATTTTAATTGTAAAGTTTCATCATACCTCCTTAAGGTCTTATTACGTTTCTTTTATCATTTTAGATTTCGCTTTTATACATTGATTTAATTTTTATTCGTCGACTATCGTGTCTAGTTTGGTAGTTTGATTTATGCTACCTTATGTTGTTATTATTACGCTATCTATGAAAACAAGAGAAATAATATAATATTATTTACAGTAATACAACACATTCTATCTACAGAGAAGTTTAGATAGATAGAAATTAGAATATGAAACTCTTCTGACCAAAACATGATGGCTTTCCTATGATATGAGATAATTTTGTTATTACTGTACGGAGAAATCATCATAACCAATATATATGAAGCATGAGACTTTAACTCACTATTCATGACAAGGCATCCCAATGAATTGTACAAAAAAATGCTAATAGGAAATTCTTCTACACCAAATGCCAAAGGAAATTATGTCAAACTATCTCTTCCCACATAAAAATAATCCTACTAAAGTACTAAGAAAAACAAATTTGCCACTATTCAAGACCGTGTATGTGTGGATTTGTTATGGCATCCTGCAAAATAAATTAAGATAGAATTATATTAGTCTAGATATTTTAATAGAATCAAACTAAATACTAAATAGATACATAATCAAATTGATTTCATACCTTTAACAATTGTGTGAATGATATATTGCGTACTGAAGATGTAGAATCAAACTTATCTCCAGCTAAACTAATAATTGAACTTTGGTGTTGATGTTCGTTCGTCATCTAAAATTAACCAATTGTTAAGATATGATTCATAGGATAGTTTCACTTATATCTCATTATAAAAAATACTATCATGAAATAGACAAAGTAAAACCTGATTATTTTGTATTCGTAATTCACTGTTACTTTCTACTTGCTGAGAAGAACTACCTTTTACCTTCTTACCCTGCATAGAATGATATCTAATAAATAATATATAAGGAAATACTATAATAGTTTCATATTATAGAAACAAAAAAGGGGGGAAAAGAACCTGTGGTTTTGATTGAACTTTGTGACTTTTTCGTCGCTCTAAAGCACTTTAATTCTTCCTTTTGGTCGTCTAACAGTAGCCTTTGACTTCACTCCAGCTACAGTTGTATGCTTTTCTTCATGATTAGAGCATAATATCTCATTAGAAGCTCCACTATTTGAATTTTTTTCATTTCCTGCAAATTCTTCAACAAACTAGAAAGAACTTCGCTTGCATGCTCATACATTTCGTTGCTCTCAGCTGCTAGTGTAGATATCTCTCGAAAATTATAATACAAATTGAAGTAACGCTTCCTAATGAGTTCCTCAGAACTTCCCTGCACCCGAACTGAACTTCGCAGATCTCCATCTTTTGCATCTTTTTTCCATCTCTTTGATATATATTGTTTTGGGATGTGCTTTATATTTTTCTTGTCAATAACCTTCAAAGCATGAGCACATAAAATCCCTACAAAATCAAACTTCATGCAACTACATTGAACTACTTGAGATGAAGACTGAAACCTGACATGATGCCCTGCACCTCTACCAACATATCTCACTTTATATTCTGTATGATCTTCGTTTTTTCCAATCTTATCAATCGTACAATCCCAAGCTTTGAGATATTCTTCTTCGAACAACTTAAAGACTTTATGAGTGTACACTTCTGATGCATGCCTTAACATCGCAACATCGACTTTTAACACTGGTCGGGTGTCCCTCATTTTGAACTCTGCAAGTAGTTCTTGGTACCTTCTATCTTCAACCAACTTATTATAATGATAAAAAAGTATACCATATTGTGTTTTGGCTTCAGGTACTTTTTCAACACGCTATTCAGTGATTCACTGCGTTGTGTACTCTTCATATCAGCAGTAAAGATATGACGTCCATAAACCATAGCCCACTTTTCTTAACCTGAAAATATCCCATGCAACCATTCATTGTTCCCCAGATCATTCTTGTTAAGCATAGCATCCCAAGCTTTAAGCCATTCATCTTCATCTTCATAATCATATATACATGAACTAAAATCACTAGCGAATTGGTCGGATCCGTGAAACACATGGCTCAAGTGTTTAGCAGCATTTTGATAAATATGCCAAACACATAAACGATGATGAGTTTCAGTAAATACCTCTTAAATTGCTTTGGCCATTGCAGCTGATTGATCTGTCAATATGGTCTTAGGTTGCTTTCCATCCATTGCCCCCAAAAATGCTTCAAACAACCACTTGAAGGATGTGATTGTTTCATCATAAAGTAAAGCTGCCCCAAAAATCACTGTCTGCTTCAGATGATTGACTCCAACAAATGGAGCAAAAGGTCGACCATATTCATTAGTTCTATAAGTGGTATCAAAACATAGAACATCTCCAAAGTACTTGTAGTCAATGATTTGTTGAAAGAGTCGAGCGCGAGACTCCGGCGTCGGTTTCACTTCGTTTGATGATCGGACGTCAATCCTGCAAAACCATAATCAGCGGATTGACAGAGCAAGTGAAGGATCAAGAATCTATTTTTGTTTTCTTTTTCTCTGCTTAATGTAACTGAATAATTAAAGTAAATGAAATGCGGTAAAAATTGGTTTTAGTAAACAGAGCAATGGGCTTGAGCCCACCAACTTGTTAACGAGAATCGTTTGGGCTTGTCCCTGCTTGCTGTAGCTAAGCCTGCCGCCTGCTTCTTCTTCCTTGATCCACCAATGTAAATTCCCTGTACTCAAGCTTCCCTGTACCTGAAACACTCAAGACACAAACAGAGCACCAAACTCTGCTCAAACCAGAGAACACACACTGCACAGAAGTTTTTACGTGGTATCCGATATTGGGAGAAGAAGAATCCCAATATCGACTAATCCACGGTAGGTATCTCTCCTCTTGAGGATCCCTACGTAACTACTAGAACGATTATCTTGATCTTGATTACACTCTAGAGATTAAACTGATCGGCTCCCTGCCTATCAATCTAACTCCTCTACTGAGGTTTAATTATCCTGATTACACTCCAGAAACACTTGCTAGGCGCCCTACATCATCTTCATCTTTATATTGCTTCTTTTCTTCAAGCTAGCCGTTGTGAGATGATGATTTGATTTCCTTCAAATCTGCTCCACCTTCCTTCTTTGAAACCTTCCATTTTGGCCTTGATTGATTTTGTTGATTCTTTCCCTATTGACGAGCTTCAGCTAACATGCTCCCCCTAAGCTTGTCAATGGCTCTTCCTGCTGCACAAGTTTCTTTCCTGCACACACTCAACAAACTATTGGTGCAGTCTGCTCTATGCGAAGTACAGAAATCAACGGCAAGGGAAGTTTTTATTCTGACTTAATCAAGAGACCGAAACATAGTACATATTCTGATTTTGAATCAACAACAATCAATAGAAAAAGGAAAACTGAACACTACCACTTAACTGACAGGACACATAAATTGACTCAACCCTACTAGACTTCCCTAACCGGTAAATTGTAGCTCCCCCTGAGCAGATACATCAGGTTCCTAGAACGGGTAACTAGGAGGTGACTCATAGTCTGAAATTTCATCTTCATAACTCGAGTCAGATGAGATTGGATCAAAGTCATCTGGAGCTGGCCTAGCTTCATCAACCTCCATCAGTTCAAGACGTTCTTTGCAAACCTGAAGACCTGTGGTCCTTCCATTGCCAGTCTCTTTTTGACGCTTGACCTCAATATCTATGGCTGAGACTGCAACTTGAGTTAAGGCTGTAATCAAGCTATCAGAACTAGGATCACCAGGAGAGAAGGCTGAGCAGCAGGGCCTAGCGTCTCCCCCTGAGCCAGAGACAAGCTTACGACGCCCAACATCAGCATCGAGACGAACGAGAACATGATTAGGGCGTAGATCATCATGGACGTTACACACTGCTACCTTGTCGCGAAAGTAAATGCCAAGGCGATGTAAATAGCGAGTAATGAGGGGTCCAAAGGGTAGAGCACCCCTGTAGGCAGCGACGCCAAAATCGAGCATGTGTGCAAACATCAGTGACGCATAACTTATGGGTTGACGAGCACGAGCATTGCCCATAA